ACCCACACCCACACCCACACCCACACCCACACCCACACCCACACCCACACCCACACCCACACCCACACCCACACCCACACCCACACCCACACCCACCCCACCCTTAAATACTTAGGTATATATTCATTTGTTTGCCTTGGAAAGTATGATATAATGTTTAGAAAGAAGTGACTTACAATGAAATTATTGTCGTTTTGTCCCAGCGTTATGTTCGAATCGCATTAACATTTTATCAATGCTTTGTTTGGAATGAGATTGATGACAATTTCATAATTTAAACCTTCTTTAAGTTGAAAATTTGGTTGATTGTGGTCTACGTTCATATTTGAACACCAGTTGTCTAGTAAATGAATTAAATGTTCTTTGTGTTCGTGTATAGTCTTCAAACCAGTAGTCAATGAAGAAGAAGCACTTGATGAATTAGGAACAGACAAATGTGTCGAAATGACATTTAAATATTTTTTTCATGCGTCTTGTTTAATTTCATTTTGTTTCTTGAGCAATGCACCTTTTATAATTTTCATCGTACTTGTAATATCGGGTAAAACAGTAAATGAATTGTTATTCAGTTTAATGCAAATCTTCTTTTTCAGCTGCACTAAATTATCCGAAGCGAAAGGCATAATTTCGAAAGGATCATCACAAGAAAGAAGACTCTGTACATTACTGATATCTTGAAATTCTAGAAGAGTAAATAATTTCTCTTCAGAAAAAATTTGAGCAAATTTAAAAAAATCATTGTCTTCAAGTTTCATACTGTTATCAGGCAAAATAGAAGTGTTATTGGACATCTTGAAAGTGACCAGTGTAAAGAAAAAGAAAGCAAAGAAACAGAAATTAACAGAAACGTTCACTGAGAAAGACAAAGATGGAAATGAACAGAAACGAAAGTGTTTGATCTTCGGTCATTTATATGAGGAAGAGAACATATAAGACGAGATATAGAAGATATCAATAGCCTCGACATCACGGTTTGTACAATAGCTGGTTACTGTTTGGGCACATATCGTTCGCGTACCACAATATTTATATCACCATGTGAACCATTCAATAGAATTGTATAAAATGGCTGACCTTTTTATGACGAATATAATGAAAACGAATGAGGATGTGCTACTGTTATTTTAATTTTATTTCCATGTTCAATAATTCGCAATAAATGATACATATTTCTAATGATTACTAGTATTAGTAATCAGTTTGTTCACTCCTGATTGCAATGCAATTTATTGGAGAACAAGAACAAAAGAAAAGAAGAATTATTCCTTTTTGCAATGCTACTCGATAGCAAATTGTAGAACACGAGGATTGCCGCCATATTCATCATTACTATCGACGACATAGAGACTGTGATGACGATCGTTGGATAAACCGGTGGGGTGGTAGAACTGATTCGCCCCTTCTCCCCCACCATTTCCTCCCACGATGACAGCACCCTGTTTCGCTCCTTTAGGCCAACACATCACTCGAGAATTTATCTGATCTGCCACATAGAGGGTCCCCAACGTATCGACAAACAGTCCTTGAGGACAATACAATTGTGTCAGAGCATTTCCATAGCCGTGACCTCCAGCAACGACAATGCCTTCTTTTGCATCCCGATTCCACTTCATCACACGGTGATTGTCTTTGTCCGACACGTAGATACTCTGTTGTTGATCGACAAAGAGGTAGGCCGGATGGTTGAGTTGGTTGAGAGCAGCACCTTTGCCATTGCCTCCAGCCACGACAGTTACATTTTTGTCTCCTTCTAGTTTATAACGTCTTACTTCATGCTTTATGGCGTCAGAGATGTAGAGATATCTCTGATCATCCATGGTCAATCCCCAACAAGAGATGTTGTTGAGGAGGATTTCCCCTTGAGTTGTGCCACTACGGCGAGACCATCGTACGACTCGACGATTTCGCCACTCACAAATAATGAGACTATTCGTCTCTTTGTCGATCAACACATCGGTCGGACCATTCATTTGATCCAATCGATTTCCTAGGCCATTACCACCAGCGACTACTCGCCCATTCTTATCTCCCATCTTCCATTGCATGATACGATGGTTGTAGAAGTCTGTGATGACCATTGATTGATCATCATCAACGAAGAGTCCAACGGGACCGCTGAATTGATTGAGGGCTCCACCGTCTCCATTACCTCCAGCAACAGTCACACCATACTGTGTCCATCGAGCAGTAACTGGAATATTGGGCATGACTACAATGAACAGTGGGAAAGGCACACGTCATCGTTATTGCTATTATATGTGAAGACGGAGATAACACTACAAATGATACATTCATCATTGTCTCTTGTGAAGAAAAGATGCAAATTTCTTTTTGTTTCTACATGAAAATTGTCTGAAAACTGAACAGCATGGAAAGATTTCTCGTTTCGGTGTGAAAATGAAGGATCATTCAATTTCTTTGAAAGATCTTCGTCATCGCCAAAGAAGCAACAGATGGGATATCTAAGAGAATCACTTGCGTCTTCTTGCCCGCAGAATACTTTCTGTTTGATTTTATAATTTATGAGACGGTCTCTTTTGCGATCGCTGTATTCTTTAAGCAATGAAATAAAAGCAAGAATATTTTTATGGATATTTGAGAA